TATATGTCGATGTCATGATATGTTATTATACTAGCTGTATATTTCAGTGCTGGTTCTGGCGGAGCATCGTTTATTCACTTATGCTCACGCCCCCCACTAACCATTTTTCAGGTGATGGTTTCGAGCGTGGAGCGTGAGCCGATGATGTGGTGGTGGTCATGGCAAGGATATTTTTAGTAAACGTGTCATGTATATTTGAACATGTTTGAGTTATTATTATGTTTTGTTGATGCATGCTTGCATTTGCTTCCGCACTCAGTATTTCAGTATTTTAGTATTTAGAATTTTAGTCTATGCATGCTTAAATCCTGAGATGTTCATGACGCCTTATTAGAGTAATGAATTGTACTCGGTTGCATACCTAGTAGTTTAAAGATATTAAAGATTAAAAATTTCAGATTCAAGTTGAGTAGCATCCCGCATATTAAAGTATTTTCGAAAAATTAATACGGGTTTTCGAAAATTAAATCAGAGTTTTCCTTTTATAGCGCGAAAAAATTTACTATGATTTTAGTAATTTTAGGCGGGGTGTTACAATGATGGATACCTTAGAGACCAAAACACTATTGAGCCTCTCCTTAACTCTGCCTTTCTTCCAAGTGAAGGAAGAACCATCAGGACCAATGTCAATTAACTCACAATTTACCACCGCTTGAGTGAAATCCCAGATCTTCGCCAAAGGGTCCGATTGGCCACCACGCAATCATCGAGATGCATAAAGATAGATAGAATAGATATAGATATACATAATACATAATTCACATGGATATAGTTGTAAATTACCACAGCGGACAAACTTGTCACAACAAGAAGCAAAATAACCACGCATCTTTTGTACAAATATTTCTCTCAGGATCAATGTCAACATGGATCCATTTCTTGTGAATTAACTGATAACCGTGCAAAGGCCTCCATTTTTTTTATTACGGCCACATTAAACCACCACTACCAGTGCATTTCTAAAAACCACAAAGCCCACATCTACAATCTATTTGCGTCTAGGCTCGAACCAGGAAGTGCATCCACACCACAGGTGGTGGTAAACACCCCTCAGAACAACTCACATGAAAGCCCAATCTCATACTCTCAGCAATCTCATGCATGGTGTCCCACGGACCGTAACACCCGACTCTCGCACAACTGGCATAAACCAGAGTGTGGAAGATGGGCTTAGGGAGATGGGGCAGCAGAAAGCTCGACGTGGAACACATGCACGGTATTACGGATGACCATACAAGTGTAGCCACGCGAGTAAAAAAACCTGATCTTATTAGAGATGTTCCTCACGGCAAAGTGAAAACCAAGGCGACTTGAGTAGAAGTTAAAAGAAGGGGTGCGAGTCATGGGCTCGAGAAAAGCGGCGAATTCGAGCTTATGATCACGGACAAGGGAGTATATATGAGCTAAGGTGGCCATATTCACCATGCCACGGGTGTTCCAAGTTATGAAGGTGACTGAAATATCAACTTTTGGGGGTGCCACTCGACTGGGTCCGTCTGTGGCTAGGGTAAATTGGCCAACCTGAGTGGGGTAATGTCTGGCTGTCAGAGTGTTGCGCGGTCTTGGATATGCTATTATAGCAGTTACGATCAGGGCTCTCAATGTGTGGACCCTCCAGCTGGTCCAACTGCTCTGATATAGTGTCCACAGGCTGGCTCACATCAGGTCTAGCGTTGTGCAGAGCCCAGTCAGGTGCGAAGCCCAACTACTGGAGGGAGGGGGGAAAGAACCAGAAGGCAAGGTGTTAGCGTCCCCAACCGCGGGCTAGAAGTGACACTGGTTGTGTGCATGCTCACTCTCGGTAGAAGAAGAAGGGGTCGACTCAGCCCCTTCTGGGAGATCGGAGGCGGGAGTGGGCCTCGAGACCTAGATATCTCTTCAGAGGTTTTTTCTTGCTGGAATGTGCCATGTCACGGGAGCTATCGTTGTGGAGGGGTGTGGGCATTTCACTCACTGAAATGACAGGCTGGTCCATCTCATCATCCATTAAGTTGTCGTCATCGTCGAGGGGAAGACTAGTCGTGTCTCCTAATGAACAAGAAGAGGATGAGGGCTCGTCCTCCATCTTAGAATAAAGGAGAAAAAAATACGAGTGGTTGGCCTTGGAGGTCATCTGAAGAGACTGTGGATGGAAGATGCCCATGGACTTGGCTTTTGGCCCATCTATTGTAACCTTTGGCTACTGACTCAAGAGTTAATGTCATTGTAGCAGACATTTTTTATCTTGCAGATTTGTTCTCGAATTGTAACTTTATTTTAGACATTACCCTTTGTTCTAGTGCTTCAGCTATAGCCAAGACGGTTGGTGTGGGGGGTGGGGTGGGGTGGGGGGCATTGTATGCTCCTTGGCTTGTGTCTTCCTAGTCCATTGTTGGACAGGTGGCTACTGTTGCAATCAGTTGATTGCCCATTTGTTTTAGTACATTTGAGCTTAATACAAGTATTTTAGTCTTTTGTTAAAAAAAAAAAGAAAAAGAAAGAAAGAAATCGACACACAAATTTTGAGTGAATTTATATTCAACCATCCAATCCATTCTTTTGAAACTCAGAGCAATTCGACAGGTCAACTCGGAGTCGGGACTAGTCCGTTTGGATTGTTTCAGATAGCAAGAGACCCGATGAAATCCAATGAACACGGCCCTGACTCGAACTACCCAGATATTGACCCGCGAGGTCAACTCGGTTTCAACCGGTCATTAATTTTTTTTTTTTTTTTACTTTTTATACTTAAAAATAATATTATGTATGCATATATTTATGTGGTAAATATTTATGACAAAATACAATGTTATTAGGACTTTTGGTATAAAAATTACATATAAATAAGTTATTTTCCTCATCCCATGTGTAGTTATAAAATAAAAATATTTTAAATACAATTTAAAATTTTATAAAATTAATTACTAAGTTCAGCAATTGACAGATAACCCAGCGGTTGGACGGGTGCCCCGGTGACCTGGAACCGAGCCCGGGTTAATCACAAGTGTGGGTTTTAAGCTATAGAGGGTGCATTTGTTTGGTAATTTAAGTGACATTGTGAAATTCGGAACTGTAAAATTTTTCATATTTAGGCGGAATCATATGAAATCCTAATTCGTTTGGAATTTCTAGTGACACTTTAAGACTTTTTGAGATTTGAGTATTTTTGGGGAGTGTATTCGCTTGGGATATCTAAAAAGTTTTTAAGATTTCAGAAATACTGTGTATTTAATTTAGACTTTTAAAATTCTTGAGGTAAATATTCTTACAAAATCATGAGATATTTATTTGTGATTGTAATTTGTTACGTTATATGAAATCTCACTCTGAATCCCACCTTCAGGCTTAAAATTTTACATAATTCCTCTTAAATAAGAAAGTCTTAAAAAGTCTCAAATTTTAAAAAGACTCAAAATGTCACTCGAAATCTTAAACGACTACACCCCCTTCCCTAAGATTTTTAGATTTAGGAGGAATTTATGAAATTTTAAGTCTAAATGTGAGATTTCTATATGGTTTTTCTTCAACAAATCTTAAAAGTCTTAACAAATATTTAGTCTCAAATAAGTTAGATACCTCATATTTTGTAAGAATTTTTAAAAATCCCAAATGAATACCTCAAGACTTTTAAAAGTCTTAAAGTCAAAATCGATAAATGCGTTAGATTTTTTTAGGTCTTAAAAAATCTTTAAAAATCTCAAACGAATGAACGTGAGTTTTGTAGTTAGATTTCGTACATGTTTTTTTTTTTTAAAAACAAAATCACAACAAATCTTAAAATGTGTTAACAAATCTTTGTCTCAAATAGGTTAAATACCTTAGGATTTCGTAAGTGTTATTAAAAATCTCGAATGAATACCTAAAGTTTTAAAAAGTCAAAGAGGTGTATTTATTTGGGATTTTGAGTGACATTTTGTCTTTTTTAGATTTGAGATTTTTTAAAAATTTCAAATCAGAATGAATTCTATGAAAGTTTAAGTTTGAAGGTGATATTTAGAATGAAATTAGGATTTTGTATTTTCTTTGAAACAAATCTTAAAAAGTTCTAATAATGTCAATCTTAAACAAGTTAAATAACATGAGATTTGCAATACTTTTTAAAATTTCAGATAATTAATACTTTTGAAAGTCTTAATAAAATAAAAAGTCATGAAAAAAAAAAAATTCTAAGTTAAACATGATTTCTGAAATTCTATGAGTATGTTTGGTAAGCCAAATAAGCTAGCTTTTAGCTTATTTGGTTAGCTTATAAGCTCCCTATTTAAAATAAGCCTCGTTTGGTAGGACGAACTTTTTTAAAAAGCTCGAGCTTATTTCATAAGCTACTTTAGGTAGCTTTTCAAATAAGCTAGTTGAATTTTTTATTTCAGCTAGCTTATCAGCTAATTTACCAAACACCTTTTATCATATAAGCTAGCTTTTCAGCTATAAGTCATAAGCTATAAGCTATAAGCTCAAAAATTACATATAAGTTATAGGCTATGTTTGGTAAAACTAGCTGATAAGCTAGCTGATAGTTGATAAGCTAGCTTATAGCTTATATGTAATTTTTGAGCTTATAGCGTATAGCTTATGACTTATAGCTGAAAAGCTAGCTTATATGATAAAAGTGTTTGGTAAAATTAGCTGATAAGCTAGCTGGAATAAAAAATTCAACTAGCTTATTTGAAAAGCTACCTAAACAAACTTATCAAATAAGCTCGAGCTTTTTAAATAAGCTCGTCCTACCAAACGGGGCTTATTTGAATACAGGAAGCTTATAATCTAACCAAATAAGATATAAGCTAGCTTATTTGGTTTACCGAACATAGCCATAAGCTAACTTATCAACTATCAACTAGTTTATCAGCTAGTTTTACCAAACATAGCCTAAAACCAACACTCCTATTAATTACAACATGATTTCTAAATTCAGCTTTGTGCTATCCCAAAACTTTACTTAAATGAACCCATTATAACTGCTTACGCCTTTTCAGCTTTGCCCACACCCTTCCTTCCTGCCCCCTCCATTCCATCACGAGATGGATGGTAACAAAGACGAAGCTGTCAAGTGTTTGAAGATCGCCAAAGACTCCATTAGATCGGGCGACAGAACCCGTGCTCAGAAATTTCTTAACAAAGCTCGCAGGTTGGACCCATCTATCGATACTGATGTTCTACTCTCAGATCTCGACTCGAACAATGAAACCCCCGAGGATAATCGCGTTCATCGCCGCAAGGTTCCGACTCCGGCGACCGGACCGTCGTCCTCCTCCTCATCGGCAGGCTACACCGAAGAACAAGTTGCTGTCGTGAAGGCCATTAAGAGGAAGAAAGACTATTACGAGATTTTGGGGCTAGAAAAGAGCTGTAGCGCCGAAGATATTCGCAAGGCCTACCGGAAAATATCTCTTAAGGTCCATCCCGACAAAAACCAAGCGCCTGGTGCGGAGGAGGCATTTAAGATGGTGTCCAAGGCGTTTCAATGCTTGAGTGATGCAGACAATCGGAAAAGGTATAATCTTGTGGGCACAGAAGAGCCTGTGTACGAGAGGCGGGGAAGTGGAAGTGCAAACGGGATGCGGGGGTTTAATGGATTCCATAATGGGGATGTAGATGCCGAGGAGATTTTCAGGAATTTCTTTTTCGGGGGAATGCATCCGGCCGCCACAGGAAATTTCGGGGGATTTTCGTTTGGGCCGGGTGTTAGGGTTAGGACAGGTGGAGTTGATCAGGGTTCAAATTGGCTGAGGATTTTGATCCAGTTACTACCGGTGATATTGCTGGTGTTGGTGAACTTCCTGCCCTCGTCCGAGCCGGTTTATTCTCTTACTCTGTCTTATGGTTATGACGCCAGGTTTATTACGCCCAAAGGCGTGACTTACTACGTTAAGTCTGCCAAGTTTGACCAGCAATATCCTTGGAATAGTCCGGAACGCCTTGCCATCGAACAACAGGTGGAGAATGACTATCACTCAGTTCTTGTGCATAACTGCAGGCTTGAATGGCAACAAAAGAACTGGGGCTACAGGCGTTCCACGCCCAATTGTGATGCACTCAAGCAATTTGAGGCAAAAGTTCAGTAAATTGGTTGAAAGGTACGGTTTATTTTAACCCTTTTTTGTTTGCATTTGTTTTATGTCTAATTTCTTTCTGTTTAGGCGATTGGTAGATTCATAATGTTGATTTATTCGTTGGTAGTCACTATGAAAAAGTTTGATAGATCATGTGGTCTGTGCAAATTTTGTTGGAGAATACCATGAACTGCTTCATTTAGATTAGTGATTTTTCCTTGTTAGGGAAATATGGTGAATCCAATCCATTTGTCTTGTATCATGCCTTTTGTAGCTTTATTGCAAATTATTGGTCCTATCAAATTTACCTTCTTAAGTGCTATAAGCCTATATCCGCAATTTTTCTAGGTCTTTACTATCTCTTGCATTGAATGTATTGCTTGTCTGATAGCTCACATATGTTGTCTATTGTGTTAAACCATTTCCAATAAACTATCCATCGTGGCATGTTTGATAAATTCTAACTCACACAAGTTTCATCTATGTTGTTGTGATAGATAAGATTAAGAGTGGGTCATTAACACCGGTGTAAGGTAACATTAATGTGAGTTATATTTGATTATCATGGTCATTGACTTATGTAGGGTAGTCCGTTAGCCACACTCGGAACATCTCTTCATTTTATGGATAGTTACATATATTAGATGTTGAATTATCTAGTTATTAAAAGCATGCATATGCATTGTCCAGGCAACAATCCCGTCTGGGCGTGAGGGGGTGAAAACAGAAACCATTTCATACCCATGGCTAATTGGCTATTCTTTTCTCTTTTCCTTTTTTGACCAAATATTGGATTGTAGTAAAACTAGGGCCTAATTCCTTAAAAAATTTGTTGAAAAGCTTGCCAAATGCGAGACCACCTAACTAAAATACCACTTGTACGACCCATGACTGCCGACTGGCTGTGAGTTGACACCCATGGCTATCCACTCCCAACTTAGAAGAGGCTTCTTTGGTCATGATAGTAAATTATCTGGGCAATTGCTCAAGTAAAGTAGTAAACCATAATTATCTAGGATGAAAACTACTTGGGATTTGGGATCTTCCTTTATAAACATTGTTGACCATTTTGGCTTGTGAATTTGATGATGATTGCAAATTTTTGGTGCTTTTTTATTATTTATATGATTTGAAATGGTCTTATTACGTTCTTTATTTAATATTTTGACAATATAGTGCATTGTTCTATCAGGTTACTTTTCGTTTTTGTTGCCTAAGGCATGAGGCACTGGGCCATGGCTTGTTGCCTTTGTGCAGTTATTCTATTAATAACTGTGATTGCTTTTACACGATGCCAAAATAATGTTTTATATGCAGAAATTAATGTTTTATATTTATCTGTTCGTTAGATTATGCTGATCATATTTCAAAGCCACTTTTGTCTGTAATTCATGACACTGGGTTAATGTACCTGGTTACATTCAGCCAGGTTGAGCAGAACGCTACTATTCTATTGTCATTGCCAAGATCATGTTCTAGCCACTTGTTTGTACTGAAATTGGCCAATATTGAGCCTAGCCTAGAAACAAAAGTTTGGTTTGGTATTGGTTCCTTTCATGTTATTTCAGTTTTTTAAAATGGCATATAGTAGAAGCTCCTATAATGTTGCTGTTGTTTAAGAGTACTGATTGGGGTTCTTAAAATGCCATCAAATATCTAATTCTCCTCCTTAACCCCAACCTGATCATCCTTCAATGTTATCATCACCCTCTTCCTCTTCTCCTTTTGAGTCTTCCAAATCAACAAACTACTTTTCTTGAGATTCTTTATGCCGATCGTCAAACTCTACTTACACTATCATCTTCAACTACAGTCTCTTTCTCTTCCCCTTTCCCGCTTGTTGTTTCTTCGAATTAGAACTCTTAGCACCCAAACCACCCATTTGTTCTTTCTTTTTTGCAGCCTTTCGCCTTGTATACGTTAACTCTTCTACTCCTGGAGCATCGCACATGGTTTTCAATTCAATGTTGTGTCGTCATAAAAAAATAACTCCGTTCCGGCCATAGTTCCTAAAGGAGAATGGCAAGCCGTAATGATTTGCTTACGACCTGGCCTCTAGGCGTGAAACAAGACCATGATGCCTCCACATTAACATGCGATTGCGACCATACTTGGGAAAAACAAAAGAAAATGATTGATAACAATACATGTTGAAGTGTAGACTGTAGAATCATCTTCAAAATCGCACTCACACGACTACAAGAGTCATTAGCACGTAGCAACGACAAAAGATAATAATGAAACACGAGTCGCAAAATAAAAAAGGCTACAAACCACCAAAAAGACTAAGTAAAATATACACACATACAATGTTCATTAAGATTCAAGTCTAAAACAAGGTGGGGAGGCCGGATAGGAGATGGTTAGGCCAGTGGTAGCTTGATTTGCAACGGGTTACTATATTCCTTGAGTAATTTTTGGTTTTTCTCTGAACCTAAACCTAGTTTTTGCGGCCACTGTGCTGGAATGTTTTTTATGTGGGAGAGATAGATTTTATTTTATAAGACATCGTAAGAGTCTTCATGTGTGATTATTGATTAGAGAACCGGAGCGGACTGGCCGGTTCAACCAATTGGACCGGGAATCGGCTTGTGTACCAGTCCGGTTCATAAAGAAAAACCGCCTAGTTAAAGAACCACTTTAGAACTGCTTGAGCCGGTACAAACGAACCAGGACCGATTTTAGCGGTTTAAAGGTTTATTTAAAATATTGATTTTTTTTATTTAAAATTATGTTAGTTATTAAACATTTAAGAAAACTTGAAATGCCAAAAATAAGGGGAGGATAAATTACAAATAAAAAAAAAAAGTGCGCTAGTTACGATAATTCAAACAAGTCTTGGAATTCTACGTTTTTGTGATGATTTTGAAATTGAACTACTATGATTGATTTATTTTTCTTATATTAATGAATCGAACTTAATTTGGTGATTTTGTATTATCTTGCTTTTGAAATTGAACTATTCTTGTTGTGATTCTCTTGTTGAATACTACTTGTGGACTATTATTGAGAGACATAAAACATTGTATAATCTATTTCTTATTATCTTATTTTATGTCTAGAATTATAATATATTTTATAGAATGAACAAACTATGTATTATACATTTAAAATGAATAAAATATTATTTTATAAGTTCAACCGGTTAGGCCAGTACCTGTAGTTACATCGGTTCGATAACTCGTCAAGTTTTCAGAACCTTGTGTGACACAAAACTACGTTATAATTGTCTAAGTAAAGTATCTAGGTTTTGTTGGCCGAGGCATGTTGCCTCGTCTCATGAGCACCTGAGTTGATGTTTTCCCTGGGCTGTGGTGAGGTGAGCTGAGGCAGGACATGGCGTGGTCGTTTAAAACTATAGACTTGACAAAAGCTTAATCATACAACCTCTTAAACATAAGGCTATTGCTCTTCTTTGAATGAATCTAACATAATATAATTGCAAAAAATACTAGTTAAAGTGATTACCGTAATAGTAATGTACGGTTAGGCAGACCTAACAATTTGAAAAAGCGAATTAACTTCTTTCATTCTCCATTAAAAGATGCACCATTACCTATCTAAGACACTCTAATTGCATTCACAACTTGATGCACTAAATATGCAGGCAGCTGAAACTAAGAAAAAAAAAAAAAGAGCTGAAACTATAAAGGCATGCAGCTGAAACTGAAACAACTAATAAAGAGGCAGGGATTGGAAATTGTTTTTGAAAGTTTGGGACAGAAATTATAAAGAAATATTAAGAAGAAACAGAAAGAGTTTCACATATTACATTAACAAAGCTTAAAAGGAAAAACTAAGGGAAAAAGAACATAAAAACAAAGACAAATAAATAACTTAACAGAGGTTGGGTCTCAGGAAGTGTTCTATTTCTCAAATTCTCACTATTTCCCTTTTTTTTTTTTTTTTTTTTTTTTTTNTTTTTTTTTTTTTTTTTGGGACAGCAATTTTTTGCTATCTCTATCCTCTCTCTGTTAAGGTTTTCTGAATTAGATTCCTGTGTTCTGTCTTTTCCTATTATTTGTGTATGGACCTAAGCTTATTTTGGAAGATTTGGGCTGGGCCATCTGTATTATTGGTATGGTTTTCCTCTCAATTCCATATCTACAAGAATCGAAATAGATTAAATTAACTTTTCATGTTTTTTTTTTCCTTTTTCCGTTTGTTTTCTTCT